CCTCCACCCCATCCTCCCCCTCTCCCGCCCTCCCCCTCTCACTCCCTCTGCCTCTCTCACCTTCCCAAACCCCTTCTCTCTCACTCACACCAGAAAAACCTCCAGCCATCCCACCAGCCCTGCCACCAGTCCCACTGTACGGTACACCCTGTGGGGTTGTTTCAGGGAAGACAACTCCTTGGTTCACAATCTCTCGCTCCCTCAGCAGCTGCTGCTGCTGCAGATCCTCCCCCTCAGCTCCTCCTCTCTCTTCCTCTCCCCTCTCGTCCACCCCCCTCTCCGCTACTCCCATCTCTTCTCCCCCCGTCTCTTCTCCTCCCCTCTCGTCTCCTCTCCTCTCTTCTCCCGTTTCGTCTCCTCTCCCCCTGTCTCCTCCCCCTTCTCTCTCCTCCCTTTGCGCCTCCCCTTCTCCCTCTGCTATCTCCCCTTCGTCCTGTGCAATCTCAATATCAGACTGTCCCCTTCTTCCCTCCTCCACCTTTCTTTCACCCTCTTCCCCCTCTGTCTCCCTCCCCCTCCCTCTCCACTCGTCACCACTCCTCTCCACTTGCCCCTGCCCTTCCATCCGCCCCTGCCTCTCCACCCTTCCTGCTCTTTCCACCTGTCCCTCCACCTGCCCCTCTCCTTCCACCTCCCCCTCCGCTGCCCCTTCTCCATCCAACTCCTCATCCTCTGCTGTAGATCGCTTTCCCACAAGCCTAGCTGCTGCTTCCAATACCGGATCACCTCTTAGCGAATCCGCTGCGACAATGTCATCAGGACCCCCCACACCAGTAGAAGCTCCAGTGCCTCTCATACCAATACCACCACCATCAGCAGCACCAGCAGCACCAGCAGCAGCAGCATCAGCACCAGCGGCGCCAGCACGAGCAGCACCAGCAGCAGCATCGCCACTAGCGAATCCAATCCCGCCCTCTCTCACACCCACCCCTCCTACGCCTCCTCTCCCCATCACATCCTGCCCCATCCTGCCCGTAACCCTGCCTCTTCCACGAGGGCCCACCCGCCCGCTCACCCTTATATCCCCGTCCTCAGTACCACCATCCTCAGTTCCACCCTCCCCAACTCCCTCCCTCTCCATCCCGCTTTCTCCTCTCCTCCCCACATCCCTCTCTCTCAAACCTTCTCCCTGCGTTTCCAGCTCTGTCCGTGGAATTAGCAGTGGCCCTGTTCCTCCTTCCCCTGCACCTAGCAGCCCAGGAGTCTGCTGCTGCACCATGCCTGCCCCAGTAGCAGCATCTGCTCTCAGCACAGCAGCGCCCTCCTCTCCCTTACTTACTAAGCCGTTGATTAAGGATGTGTCTGGTGTGACTGGAGCGAAGGTTCCTATAGCAGAGGCAGAATCCCCACCACCACCATCACCACCACCACCACCACCACCACCAAGTCCAAACCCACTGCTACTGCCACCGCTGCTACCGCTGCTGCTGCTGCTGCTGCTGCTGGGGTCGTTGCTACTAACACCAAAATCAGTGCTGCTCACGCTGCCACCGTCTCTCCTCACCCTAGACTGAACCGAAAAGCCTCCGATAAACCCCACCAGGAGCAGCAGCACCACCATCACTACAGAACTAACCAGGCAGCAGAGAATCACACCTCTCCTTCTCTTCTTCCTGGATGATAACGGCACGCCCGCCCCTGCCTTCCCCCCGCTCCCCATCCCCCCTCCCCCCATTCCCCCTCTCCCTGCGCTCCCCGCCCCAATACCACTCCCCCTGGGTGACCCTCCCCACCCCCAGTTGCCCCCCCCACCCCCGGATTTACTCTCCCAGGAGGGGGACCGTCCCCCTGCCTTTGTCTCCCCCCCATCCCACGATCCCCAGTTCCCCCAATCCCCGCTCCCCCCGCTTCCCCCCTTCACCCCCACTCCCCCTCTGTTGCCCCGCCACTCCCCATCCCCTCCCCCTCCTCCCCCTCCCCTTCCCCCGTCACTGGGTCTATTCAGAGAATCAACCCCTAATCCCCTGCCTCTCCTCCCACTAACGTCTTCCGCCAGTCGCGCTCCAGAAGAAGACAAGGAAAGCCCACCAGCGGCAGAAGAAGACACGGCATGCCCACCAGCAGCAGTGGCAGCTACAGGGGATAAGGACTCCCAGTCTGAATTATCCCAACCTCCGCTGCTGCTACTATCGTCACTATCAACGTCAGCACCACCACCAGCAACAGCAGCAGCAGAAGCAGCAGCAGCACCACCGCCACCAGTACCACCACTGTCAACGCCACTAATGGGAACGCCACTCTTACTGGTAACACCAGTGCTACTGGTGGTAACACCTTTCGAGGGCCTCACTGAAATTGCAGCTTCTAGACCTAGCCCCTCCCACCCACCCGTGCTGCCCTTATCCCACTCATCTGTCTCCACCTCTGCTCCCCACCCTTCGTCCTCCTCTCCTTTATCACTCCCCCCCCAACCACCGCCCCCTTTATAACCACTCCCTCTACTAGCACCCAGACCTGCACCGGAAATTCGGCCACCAGAGCTGGAGGGCCGTCCAGTGGAGCTGGACGGACGGTCAGGAGACACTCCCAAGCCTTGCAACGCTCGACCGGTTCCCGAACCTGATCGCTTCGGGACTCCAAACTCCGGACTTGCTCCTGTTCCTCCACCAAAACCACCTCCATGTGTCTGCTGCTGGTATTGCTGCTGCTGCTGCTGCTGCTGCCGCTTGGGTGGGGTTTTAAATTTCCTCTCAATAAACCCAGACAGCACACCACTAGGCTGAGTCAGGTACTGCTTTTCAGGGTCATATCTCTCCCTCTCCGGCCCGCTTTCCCTCCCTCCTGGCGGCCGGCGCGGGGGGGACGCGGCTGTAGCAGCGCGGGCGAGTTGAGCCGCTACAGCCGCAATCCCAGCAATTCCCGAGGGAAGATTCCCGCTAGACAACCCGGCAGCGCCAAGAATGTCATCCGCGTCTTCTTTAGTGAACCAAACAGAGGAGGAGGAGGCGCCGGGTTTATGCTGCTGCTGCTGATGATGATGATGATGATGGCTCTGGGAGCCAGAAGACGGGTAGGGGCATAGCTCGTCCGTGTCTAAGGGGAGAATGTGGCTGGGGACTGAGGGAGGTGCGGCTTTGGATGAGTGGAGGATGAGAGGCTTGGGTGAAGAGGGGCCATGCTTCGGAGAGGAGGCTCGTGGAGAGCCAGGTTGGGGGGATCTGTGAAGGGGAAGGGTTGCCGAAGCAGGAAGGTTGGTTTGGTGGGTTCAGTTGAGGACAGGTGAATGCACCGAAAATGCTGGACTATTAACGGCGATACGTGACCTTTGCGCCATTTGCATAAATTCCTACGGGACGAGCGTTAGTACAGTCAAGGAGGCTGTTAAGAGAATAAGATCTTGCATTCATAATCTGACAAAAATATGTTGACTCCAAAAAACGTTGACTTTCAAACAATACCTGCATTGCTTTAAGATTTTAAGAAACCACACATGGCAGAGCGCAAGTTACTCCAAAGAGGAATGATACAACATCCTTAACCTAACGATAGGCAAGCATTCCAACTTGACTGATAATCTCTTCCGTACCTTGATCCTGATGCGACTGGACGAGTCTGAACGAGCTTTTTCTTCTTAACGACGGCCGATCCCGTGCGATGAACAGGCGCGTCGGAGCTCGGAGCAGACCGATTCGCAGTGGTGTCGGATCCCGTGCGATGTACCGACCCTCCGTATTGTCGCCGATCCATATCGTCGCGTACGACGCACTTGATCCGGTTCTCTTTGCTATTCTTGCATTTAGTTTTGAGACGTCATAAAACAAATTTTAAATCGCGTAAGACGCACTTTATCCGGTTCGCTTGCTAATCTCGCATTTAATTAGCTTCAACAATCTATCCTGCAGCTCTGCGAAACAAATCACCCGTACAAGTCAGATTTTCCAGGCGGTTCAACGCAGCGCTCGCCTCACATTCCCGACCGAACCATGCGTGCTCTATCTTTCACGGACACATAAAAAACATTTCCTGCTGATGGTTTCGGCCTCACAAGTCCTACAGCTTGCTTGCGAAGGTGTTCGAAGTGCCTACATGCGCGACTGGATCAAAGAGCAGCTATGGGCGTCATACGCTGCATCACCAGCTGAAATTGCCAAATTGATATGGAGGTTGGTGGGGTGGTGGATGTGAGCAGAATTGTGGGGCCAAGATCACGGCATTTCCAAGAATGCGACCAAACTGAAGCCAACAAATGGAGGAGAAATCGAGGCTGTGTCCGCGTCGTGGAGAAAACGCTGTTTTGATACACGCTATTTGCTAATCATCATAATTGCAACGCATGAATTCTGGTCTCAATGAAAAACAATGCAAGATCCAATGAAAATTAGATTACAACTTCTTAGCTAAATAATCTAAGCTAATATGACCAAGATCCGACTTAGAGGAAATACGTTCTTAATGCATATATTCAGTGCAAAAAGACCAATAATTATAATTGCCACAGAAGGTGATAACAAAGTTGTAGAATAATCAATTCCCCACGTCACTGCATCGCACCCTTCGAAACGGACTTCAAACCGGAAATGAACGATCGGGGGCGGTTGATCCTTGCTGATGTTCCTCCTGCACCAGGCACCACCAACCAACCATCAACCACCTCCACCGATTTTACCGCTGCTGGATCTCGCCACTCTCGAGAATTCAAGGAACATTTACCAGGCAGCTGGATGAGCCAATCTTTGACAAGCAACCGAGTCATTTGTCAGGCATCAAGAAGACTCTAATCAGGGAGAGCCGGAAGCGCAATGTTGACTAGGGAGTCACGCATCCATGAGAACTTTCGCGTTATTTAGCAGCATTACTCCTGACATTTATTGTTTTAGCCATAATTTTGTAGACTCTTGGAAAAGTTTTGACGTTCCAGAGGCACATTCTTGTCGACATTGATCAGAAACAGGTGATGACATTTTGATCATTCGGCAACTACGAAAGTCATGGAATCGACAGGCCGTAGCAAGTGGGACGGCACGGGTCCCACTCGCTCTACCACTTCCGTCTCCGATTTAATGCTTGGCGAAGTCGACCTTTCTGGTAACTCCGCCCTCCAGCGTTTCGCGGCTCTCGCAGCGGAAGAAGCGGACAGAGCGCGAGGCACGCCGCATTCATCCATCGCCGCTGCCGCCGCCGCCGCTGCCGCTGTCACAATCATTCCAGACATTAGATCGTTCCCGGTAACCCCGGAAGACACGGCGAGTTTGGAAACCCAGTCGCAGCAGCACGAGGAGCGCGGGTTAGGAAAATCGCAGTCGCGCAATGAGGGAGCAGGAACATCAGGAGAATCGCACCAGGAGCAGAAAGCCTCAGGTTTCAGTCCTTCGGGTTCGGCTATTCGTCCTGTTATTCCTCCTGTTGCCGGTTCTGCTGTTCCTGCTGCTGCGTCGTCTTCGTCAGCCCATCAGTTACACGGCGTCGTGACCGTCCCGGACATTCCGCTGCCTTTGCTGCGGCTGATCGATGCAGCTGCTCACGAGGGCCACCCGAAGGCGTTAACGAAGCTTCGCCGAATCGCAGCTGGGTTGGATACTTTGGAGAGTTTTACGAAAGGAAGGCGCGGCGAGAAGGATGGGGACGCAGACCATAAGACAGAAGGGGAAAACGCCAAAGGGGAAGAGGTCAAGGGGGAAGAGAGCAAAGGGGTGGGAATCAATGGGGTGAAGGAGACCAAAGGGGAAGCAACCAAAGGGGACGAAACCAAAGGGGGCGGCGCTGCAGGGGACAAGGAAGGCGAGCCCGATGAGGGGAGGGAAGCTGAGAGCCACACAGAAGAATCTGGGACAGGCGAGGGAACGAAGGGGAGCGAGGTTCGCGAAGCAGCAGGCGAAGGGAACGCGGCGGTGACACAGGCTGGCGAGGATTCAGGGACGCCAGGGTCGTTAGGGAAGGAGGAGACTTCGAGGCTTATAGTGGAGACTCTACTGGCGATCATGGGGGGGAGGCACGAGGAGGAGGAGATAGGCCAGGCTGGGTCAGGCAGGGGGGAAGGCGGAAGCAGCGGCACGAGTAGCAGCAGCGTGGGTGGCAGCATGGGTGGCAGCATGGGTGGCAGTGGTGTGCAGGGGTGGATTAAGGGAGGAGGGCCTGTGATCATGCTCACTCCCGAAGCTGCTAGGCTCGGCGCGTGGCTGCTGCCGTGGCTGCCGTGCCACGAGCCTGCTCAAACTCCCAACGCTGAAACCGACCCTGCAGCAGAGAATGCAGAGAATGCTGAGAATGCAGAGACTGTTGTTAAACCTGAGACTGCTGAAAATTCTGAGACTGCTGCGAAAGCACCAATCCAGTCGTCTTCAGATGGCGACGATCCTGCCACGTCAGCTGCTGAGTCACCCTCTGCCGACTCCCCCGCTGCCGACCCCCCATCGACTGACTCCCCAGATCCGTCCGCAGTCCCTTCCGTTATAAGCACAAGCCCTGCCAAACCTGCAACTCAGCCCGCCCCAGAGCCACCACCTAGAGCAAAACCCGCTGCTCAGCCCCCCCAGGTGTCCCCCAGGACGCGCATGGCGCGCGGAATAGCCCGCGTGCTGCTCTCCTGCACGCGCAACCGCGGTCTCTGCGCCTCCATGGGGCTGATCAGGGCGCTACTGGCCGCTCTCAGGGTGATTCTCCTGGGAGGGGTGGACACGCAGGGGCTGCCGCCTGCTGCTGCTACTGCTGACGCTCTGCGGCTTCCAGGGAAGACCAGCTCCACCAGCTTTAAGCGTAACGGCAGCTCTGCTGCTGCTGGTAATGGTAGCAGCTTGAACGTGAGTGCAGATGAGACAGGCTATGAGAGTGAAACAGTTGCAGTAGCAGCAGCAGCAGGGGGAGTCACGCCGCTGTTTGGGGTGGTGGATGAAGCAGCGTGGGACTGCTCCCCTCTTGTTACAGCTCTGGAGTGTCTAGCAGCGCACTCTCTCAACGTTGCTGAGTTGCAGGACTGGGTCCGATCCACCGAGGCTCTTATCCTCCCTGCTGCCCCACCTGCTGTTACTGCCGCTGCTTCTGCTGCTACGGCTGCTGATACTCCTGCTGCTGACGCTCAAAACGGTCTCGGGAGCAGCCCTTGCAGCAGCACAAGCAGCAGCAGCAGCAGTGGCCTAGCTGGGAGTAGTCGTGCGGCGCTCCTGCTGACAGCTTTGGAGCGTGCCATGGCTGGGGAGGAGGTTCGGGGGCCCTCCCATTCCTTTGAGCTGGACGGCCGAACCTCCGGGCTGCTAGGTCCGGGCGAGAGCAAGTGGCCCTTCAGTAACGGTTACGCCGTCGCCACGTGGCTGTACGTCGAATCGTTTGTCGACACGTCAGCGTCGGCGATCACTGCAGCGGCCAAAGCAGCGGCCATTGCAGCAGCAATCACGGCCAAGGGAGGGAAAGGGTCTGCCCAGGTGACTGCTGCTCAAATAGCTGCTGCTGTAGCCGCTGCTAACTCCAATATCCTCCATCTACCACGCCTCTACAGCTTCTTAACCATCGAGAACCACGGAATAGAGGCCTATTTCCACAAAGACACCCTCGTTGTCGAGTCTAATTGCCCTTGGACCGGCGTCCGAAACGCCGTTCGGTTCCGGCACACCTTTCTCCCCCGCCGCTGGTATTTCCTAGCTCTAGAACACATATTCAAGCCGTCTCTAATGGGTAAAGCAGAGAGTGAAATCCGGCTGTATGTGAACGGGCGATTGATAGAGTCCTGGCCTCTTGATTTGCCCCGGATTTCCAACCCATTAGGGTTTCTCTGCATCGGCACCAACCCCCCTTCCGGACTGCTCGTAAACTCATCTCAGAAACAGACAGGACCTGCCGCCCAGCACCAGCATCGGCAGCAGCGGCTACAGTGCCCGCTATTCGCCGAGCTCGGCCCGGTGTACATCTTCAAGGAGCCAATCGGAAGCGAGAGAATCGCCAGGCTGGCAGTGCGTGGGGGGGACCACCTGCCTGTGTTTGGGGCGGGTGCGGGGGCGCCAGCTCACATGGGGAGTGAGGTGATGATGAGAAGGGCTGAGGAGTCATGCAGTCTAGATGTGGACCTGGCTTCCAGTATCCACCTCCTGTACCACCCCAAGATGCTTCTCGGAAGGTTCTGCCCGGATGCCTCCCCTGCCACCGCATCTGGTGCGTACCTTAAATGGTCAAAACTCAAACTTACATGGCAAATCTCAATTCCCAAGGCCGAAATAAAAACCCTGAACCTGTTCTCTTCGCAGTCAGTCTCTGCTGCTTTGGATTGAGCTGACTAGAAAAGTCCTGTTCCCACGTCTGGCTCTTCTCTTTGGCAAACTTCGATTCTGAGCCCACGCATGCCCAATTTCAAACCCTGACCCTTTCCCAACTCATGCTCTGCCAGGCGTGCAGAGGAGGCCAGCAGAGGTGGTGGGGCAGGTGCATGTGGCAGGCAGCAACCCCGTGAGGCTGACATGAACCGTAAACGCATTCAGCTCGGGGTGACTCTCCCAAACCTCTGCACCCCACCAAACCCCTTCCCATCCCTGCCTGTTTCCACCAGGCGTGCAGAAGAGGCCGGAAGAGGTGGTGGGGCAGGTGCATGTGGCAGCGAGGTGGGAAGGGTAGCATGACTCGTACAAACATTCAGCTTTGAGTGACTCTTAAACCCCTCCACTTCATCACCGTCTTTCTGCCCTTCTCCCCACCAGGCGTGCAGAGGAGGCCAGCAGAGGTGGTGGGGCAGGTGCATGTGGCAGCGAGGCGGCGAGCAGCGGATGCTCTCTGGGCTGCAGCAGAGGGGGGTCCGCTGGCGCTGCTGCCCCTCTGCATTGAGGCCGTGGACCTGCACTCCATGGCACCACAGGTGAGTCAATACATAGTACCAGGTGAGCGTCTAAAGAGCAGCAGGTAAGTTAGCTGCGGCATTGATTTCATGTGCCTCCAACCAACTCTGTGGGCTGCAGCAGAAGGGGGTCCCCTGGCGCTGCTGCCCCTCTCCTCTGCATCAAAGCCTTAGATCTCCACTCCATGGCACCACAGGTGAGTGCTTGCTGCTTCATTGTTCTCAATCTTCGAGTCTCAATCGCCCACCTCCCTCTTTCTCTTTCTCCCCTCCCACCCCTTGTCTCTCTTCCATCGCAGGTCCGCTCGCCTCCTCTCTCCCTCTCCGCCTCTCAGCTCCTCCCCAACGTCCTTCGCATCATCGCCCGCTCCCTCCGCCGCCCGATGAACCGAGAAGAGCTCAAAGGGCCCGCCCCCGCACTCCTCTCCCACCTCCTCCGCTCCGTCCTCTCCTCGCCACCCACTCTTACCGAATCAGCTTGTAACGAATCAGCAGCTGGGGATAGGAGCAGATCTGTTGAGAGCTCCAAGGATAAGGGGCAGTCAAGACCACCTGGCGAGCAGAAGGAGGGAAGTCGAGATAGAGACAAGGAGTTGGTCCACGCGTGCATGCTCCTAGCCCACGTGCCCCGCCCTGGCGACCACCTGAAAAACCACCTGATGGAGCACCTGCTGCTGCACCTGCCTCTGTGGGCGCCCACTCACCTGAGCGCACAGAGGGCCCTGCTTGCAGCCATCGGGGACGCGGTTTCTCTGGAGCTGCAGGCACTGCAGTCAGTGGGAGCTGTCTCGGTATGTTCACATGGGGAAAGATTGGGGTATCAACAGGTCACAGGGGGGTTGACTCATGCGAGGAAGGGGGAGGGGAGGGCCCTGCTTGCAGCCATAGGGGATGGTGCGCCTGTGGAGCTGTGCTGTCCCACAAACTGCACTACCCCTGCTCTCCCACTCTCCCCATGTACCCTTTCCCTCCCACCCATCAGCTACTCCTGGACGGCTACCCTGAGAACCATCTCTTGAATCTGCAGCGTCCCTTTCCTTCATCTTCCTTCTCCAACCCCACCTGCCCATCCGCCCTTCCACCCTCCTCTCAGCTCCTTCTGGACGGCTGCCGCCGCTGCTACTGGATGACGTGGGGCCCCTCCTATAGCGCTTCCATGCTTGAAACTATCCCCCCATCCCCCCCACCCCACCCACCTCTCACTCACGCGCCCTCCTCCCAGCTCCTCCTGGACGGCTGTCGTCGTTGCTACTGGATGACCTGGGAACCCTCCTCTGTGCGCCTCTGCACTGCTAGCTGGCAGACCAAGGCTGGTGAAGCGAAGGGAAGAATGGTGAAGGCAGGAGAAGCAGCAGGAGGAGTGGGAGCACTGGTGACGGGAGGGACAGGAGAAGCGCGAGGGGCAGGGGGTGGGGAGTGGGGGAGGGAGGAGATGCAGGAGGAGCGGATGGGGATGATGGGGGAGGTGAACGGCATGGTGAATGCGGTGATGGGGGCTCTGGAGAAGCTGGTGTGTGCTGGCGTGGGGCTGGACGTGATGGGCGCAGACATGCGCGCTCTTGTCTCCTTTGCTCTCCAGTGCCCCCAAGCTAACCAGGTATGGGATCCAACACATGTACTCACAGACTCACAAAATATGAGGGTAAATGGGAGGTAAATGGAACTGCATGGCATGGTGAATGCGGTGATGGGGGCGCTGGAGAAGCTGGTGTGTGCTGGCGTGGGGCTGGACGTGATGGGCGCAGACATGCGCGCTCTTGTCTCCTTTGCTCTCCAGTGCCCCCAAGCTAACCAGGTATGGGATCCAACACATGTACTCACAGACTCACAAAATATGAGGGTAAATGGGAGGTAAATGGAACTGCATGGCATGGTGAATGCGGTGATGGGGGCGCTGGAGAAGCTGGTGTGTGCTGGCGTGGGGCTGGACGTGATGGGCGCAGACATGCGCGCTCTTGTCTCCTTTGCTCTCCAGTGCCCCCAAGCTAACCAGGTATGGGATCCAACACATGTACTCACAGACTCACAAAATATGAGGGTAAATGGGAGGTAAATGGAACTGCATGGCATGGTGAATGCGGTGATGGGGGCGCTGGAGAAGCTGGTGTGTGCTGGCGTGGGGCTGGACGTGATGGGCGCAGACATGCGCGCTCTTGTCTCCTTTGCTCTCCAGTGCCCCCAAGCTAACCAGGTATGGGATCCAACACATGTACTCACAGACTCACAAAATATGAGGGTAAATGGGAGGTAAATGGAACTGCATGGCATGGTGAATGCGGTGATGGGGGCGCTGGAGAAGCTGGTGTGTGCTGGCGTGGGGCTGGATGTGATGGGCGCAGACATGCGCGCTCTTGTCTCCTTTGCTCTCCAGTGCCCGCAGGCAAACCAGGTAAGGAACTTAAACCCTAAAACCCCAACCCTGGAACCATGTGCTGGAGAAGCTGGTGTGTGCTGGCGTGGGGCTCGACGTGATGGGGGCCAACATGCGCGCTCTTGTCTCCTTCGTACTGCAATGCTGTCAAGCCAACCAGGTATGAAATAGATATAGAACTTACACACTCAAACGAGGGGGAGCGACATGGCACATGGCGTGGGGCTGGCGGTGATGGGTGCAGACATGTGCGCGCTTGTCTCCATTGCCCTCCAGTGCCCTCAGGCCAATCAGGTAAGGGAAGGGATTGAAGTCACCTAATCACAGAAGGGTGAATGGCCTGATGCATGCCATAGCGACTTATAAATGAACGTCAATGTCTCAGCAGAGCATCAGCCTTATTCCTGTCTGCTCTCCTCCATTCCCTTTCATTTAGGTGGCCTGAGTGCTGTGCTGCTGCTGCTGTAGTACCACCGCCTTATCTCTCACTCCCACAGCAGCAGCAAAACTTCATTCATTCATCTTCATCCTCATCTACTCTCCCCCCTTACCTTCCAGGTGGCGCGAGTGCTGCTGCTACTCTACCGACTCATGTCTCAGCCCAACAGCAGCAGGGCATCGGCCTTCATGGTGCAGTTCCTCGCATCAGGCGGGGCAGAGATGCTGCTGGCGCAACAGCAGCAGCAGCAGGGACTCACCCTTTTCCTCGTCTGCTCTTTCCTCCCCTCCCTTTCCTTCCAGGTGGCACGGGTGCTCCTTCTGCTCTACCGCCTCATGTCTCAGCCCAACAGCACCAGGGCATCGGCCTTCCTGGTGCAGTTCCTCGCATAAGGCGGAGCAGAGATGCTGCTGGCGCTGCTGCTGGAGCAGCAGGCAGGGACTCAACCTCATCCTCTTCTCCTTCTCCTTCCCTTCTCTTCCAGGTGGCCCGAGTGCTGCTGCTGCTCTACCGCCTCATGTCTCAGCCCAACAGCAGCAGGGCATCGGCCTTCATGGTGCAGTTCCTCGCATAAGGCGGAGCAGAGATGCTGCTGGCGCTGCTGCTGGAGCAGCAGGCAGGGACTCAACCTCATCCTCTTCTCCTTCTCCTTCCCTTCTCTTCCAGGTGGCCCGAGTGCTGCTGCTGCTCTACCGCCTCATGTCTCAGCCCAACAGCAGCAGGTCATCGGCCTTCATGGTGCAGTTCCTCGCATCAGGCGGGGCAGAGATGCTGCTGGCGCTGCTGCTGGAGCAGCAGGCAGGGACTCAACCTCGTCCTCTTCTCCTTCTCCCTTTGCTTCCTTTTCAGGTGGCCCGAGTGCTGCTGCTGCTATACAGACTCATGTCTCAGCCCAACAGCAGAAGGGCATCGGCCTTCATGGTGCAGTTCCTCGCATCAGGCGGGGCAGAAATGCTGCTGGCGCTGCTGCTGGAGCAGCAGGCAGGGACTGAAACTTATCCTCGTCTCCTTCTCCCTTTGCTTTCTTTTCAGGTGGCCCGGGTGCTGCTGCTGCTATACAGACTCATGTCTCAGCCCAGCAGCAGCAGGGCATCAGCCTTCATGGTGCAGTTTCTCGCATCAGGCGGGGCAGAGATGCTCCTGGCGCTGCTGCTGCGAGAAACCCAGTATGGGGAGACCTATCCGGTCAGTTTCCCGCCCAAATCTGGTATTCGGCCAATTAGGAGGCGTCTGGTTCCGGTTCCGGGCGGCGAAGGGATTGGGATTGGAGATGGGGAGGGGAGGGGGGAAGTGGAAGGGGGCAAAGGGGGAGAGTTGGAGGGTAAGAGTGAGGGTGATGAGGAAAATGCACGGAAGGTTCTGGTGTTTGGGGATGGAAAGGGAGGGGCGGTTGAGGGGCAAGGGGGGGAGGAGAGCAGAGGAGAAGATCCGAAGGAGGAAGGGGAGGTGGCAGGCAGTGGGGGGAACGAAGGTGAGGGTAGGGGTGAAGGAGAGAGGGAAGGGGAACAGGAGAAGGGGGAGGGCAGTGAGAAAGATTTGACTAAGGAAGGTGAGTCTGGGGAAGGCATATCTGCGGAGGGGGAAAAGAAAGAGGGTGTTTCTGAGAAGGAGAGTGAGGAGAAGGAGGAAGAGGAAAAGCAAGCGGAGAAGACGGAAGAGGATGAGAGCAAGAGCAAGCCGAAACAAGAGGCGGCAAAGGGGGGAGGTGTGTGGGATCTGAGCACATGGAACGCCTTTTTGGAACCTCTTGGGTTGAAGGTTGGCTCGATTGACGATAAGAAACCCGACGCAGGGAAACCAGAATCAGCAGCAGCAGGCAAAGAGTGCGGGGAGAGAGGCTCAAACGCAGCAGCAGGGGCAGCAGGAGTGGCAGGGGCAGTGGGAACAGGAAGCAGGAAAGGCTCCAGTGGGATATCACATGATGCAGCGGGTGTGGAGCAGTCAGGAGCGGGTAAGGAGCAGCAAGAGAGAGGATTGGAGGAAGGTGAGGAGGAGAACGGGGAGGAGGACACGAGGAGGGGACTGGCAGAGGTGGCAGCAGTGGTGCAGAGGCTGAGGGCGAAGCAGGTGTATGAGGATGACGCAGAGGAGAGTGCTGTGCAGGTGACAAAGGAAGGGCTGCCCGTGCTTGCCCCCTGGGTGTGTGTGTCGGTGCCTCGTTTGGCCCGCACTGGCACTGCCTCTGGTTCTTCCTCCGTAAAATCGGCTTCTAGTCATGCGAGCCCAGGAGGTGCTGGTTCCACTGCTGCTGCTGCGGCTGCGGCTGCTGCTGCTGCTGCTGCTACTACTTGTGAGCGGTGCAAGCAGGGATGGGGGTGGTAGCAGTAGGGGTGTTGGCGCCAGCAGTAGTGCGGGTAGCAGCGGCACAGTTGTTAGGAGTGGTAGCGGTCATGCCTCTGCTGGGAGGGTTGAGGGAAGAGCAGCATACAGATCATCCTCTTATGGTGCTCCCACCACCACTGCAGGACCTGCTTCTGCTGTCTCTCCTGCTGCTGCTGGCCTTGCTGCTGCTGCGGCTGCTGCTGCTGCGGCTGCTGCTGCTCCATGCTTTTTGGCTGTCAGGCTGGATGGCTGAGAATAATGCCATGGCTGCTGCTGAAGGTACTGCTACAGCCACTGCTGATGCTGCTACAGCCACTGCCACTGATGCTGCTTCAGCCGCCGCTGCTGATGCTGCTACAGCCGCCGCCGCTGGTGCTGCTACAGCTACAGCTGACACTACAGCTGACACTGCAGCTGATGCTACCGATTTTTACTTTGACAGCGACCAGGGCTTCCCACTGACGGACGGTCCAGATGCGATCATGGTCGCGGTGATCTCGATCCTAGGGCTACTAGCCGACTCAGGCTTCCTGCGTCTCTCCGACCCGTCGGTTCTAGGAGTGGTGCCGACTACACAGGGGTTGGGAGCGGTGGTGACAGAGAGGGCAGGGAAGGACCGAAGCAACGTGGGTGCGTGGGCGGTTTATGGCGTGCAGAGAGCACTGCAGGTGGCGCCTAGGAGGCTGTTCACGCCTGCTGTGTACCATGCTGTCATGACTGCCGTGCTCAGATGCAAGGTGAGATGCAAAGGGAGGGAGCGAGCTCTGTTGTGTTGAGAGTTCCCTGATAGCAGCACCTGCAGGTGGCGCCTAGGAGGCTGTTCACGCCTGCTGTGTACCATGCTGTCATGACTGCCGTGCTGCGCTGCAAGGTGAGGTGTGACTGGTGTGATGGGGCTGGGCTGAGGGATGTTTGGAGGAAGAAGGGAAGTAACGTGGGTGTGTGGGCGGTGTATGGCGTGCAGAGAGCACTGCAGCTAGCGCCTAAGAGGCTGCTCACGCCTGCTGTGTACCATGCGGTCATGACTGCTGTGCTGCGATGCAAGGTGAGGGTGTGATTGGTATATTACGTTGGGCTGGGCTGGGCTGGGCTGGGCTGGGCTGGGCTGGGCTGGGCTGAGGGATGTAGAGAGGGCAGGGAAGGACCGAAGCAACGTGGGTGCGTGGGCGGTGTATGGTGTGCAGAGGGCGCTTCAGGTGGCGCCTAGGAGGCTGTTCACGCCTGCTGTGTACCATGCTGTCATGACCGTCGTGCTCAGATGCAAGGTGAGGGTGTGACGGGGCTGGGCTGTGGAATGATGTATAGACGAAGGGGAGTAATGTGTATGTTCTTTCCTGCTCGCTCTCCCTCAGCTCACCGACCCTTTTCACAATGCCTCTCCCTTCTACAATCCCCGTATGCAAGCAATCGGTTAGCCCTCCACCCTCCTCCCCCCGTCCACCTTCATATCTCCCCGGGAGCAGCAGCTGCTACTGGCGCTCCTCCACACCCTTACCTTCACTTAACAACTCTTCCCCAAACCCCTTCCTTCCTGTCTCATTCCCTCTGCAGGCAACTGATTCTTCCTTCACCATCCTCCCCCCGTCCACCTTCATAGCCCTGTGGGAGCAGCAGCTGCTACTAGCTTTCCTCCGCATCCTGACCCCTACTAACTCCTTCCCTTCCCTTTTATGCCCCTCTCAACCCCTCTGCAGGCCGTCGATTCTCCCTCCGCCCTCCTCCCCCCGTCCACCTTCATAGCGCCCTGGGAGCAGCAGCTGCTGCTAGTTCTCCTCCACTCCCTGCCCTCTACTTACATCCTCCCTTCCCTTCTGTGCCCCTCCCAACCCCTCTGCAGGCCGTCGATTCTCCCTCCGCCATCCTCCCCACGTCCACCTTCATAGCCCCCTGGGAGCAGCAGCTGCTACTAGCTCTCCTCCGTGTGCTGCCCCTCTTCTACTTACACCCTCCCTTCCCTTTTGTGCCTTTTAACCCCTTTTTGCAGGCCACCGATTCTCCTTCTGTCATCCTCCCCCCGTCCACCTTCATAGCGCCCTGGGAGCAGCAGCTGCTGCTAGCTCTCCTCCGCTCCCTGCCCTCTGCTTACTCCTTCCCTTCCCTTTTGTGCCCCTCTCAACCCCTCGACAGACCATTGATTCTCCCTCCGCCATCCTGCCCCCGTCCACCTTCATAGCCCCCTGGGAGCAGCAGCTGCTACTAGCGCTCCTGCGCGCGCTGCCCTCTGCCGCGCCTCACACTCAGCTCGCAGTGCTGCAGGACCTGCTGCTGCTGCTCCTCCTCTCCCTCAACCCCGCCAATACGCGCCTCCTCACCCACTCCCCTGAGTGGCCCGAGTGGCTGCTCGAGATCCTGCTGTCGAATCTCGAGGTATGGAATAGGGTAGGCAGGGCAAGATGAGACTAGATGAATTCCACAGGACCTGCTGCTGCTGCTGCTCTCCCTCAACCCCACCAACACGCGCCTCCTCACCCACTCCCTCGAATGGCCTGTTGGGAAATCTCAATGTATGGAATAGGCGCAGCGATAGGGGATTCGATGCATTCCACACGACCTGCATTGTGCTGTTGAATCTCGAGGCATAGAATAGGATAGGCATGGTTATAAGGGGTCCCTCCACACCGCCAAGCCAACACACGCCTCCGAACACACTCCCCCGAATGGCCCGAGAGGCTGCTGGAGATTCTGCTCTCAAATCTCGAGGTAAGGGATAGGCACAGCAGCAGCCAGTTCCCAAACGCCGTTTTGGAAATTTCCACTCTTTGTTGCACAAATTTTTGGCTGATCTCCTCTCCTTACAGACCCTTTCTCGAAGACACCCCTCCTCACAACACGAGTTGATGGAAGTAAGGCCTCCGCAGCCCACCTGTCCTCTCTTGACAGCTCGAAGCCACCCCTCCTCACATACAACTTGAACCAGTCGTATGAATATTATTGAAGCCATTTCTGTGGGTGAGCTTTTAGGTTTCCTACACAACTTTCCACTCCCTCTGCAATCTCCCTTCTGTCCTTTGCCACCTTTCTGTCCTTTGCCACCTTTCTGTCCTTTGCCACCTTTCTGTCCTTTTGACCCACCTCTCCCTGCTCCGAATGCCACATCCTTCCAGGCCTTGCCGTCAACAGGCTCCCTCCAAACCACAGCAACACAGATCAATGAGGAGAGCGCTGCAGGTGGTAGCGGTGGGGACCCACGTGCAGTGCGCAGCAGCACGAGCGTGCAGGAGGATGTGAATGAGCTCATCTTCAGCTTCCTGGGGATAGTGTTTGAGCACTGCTTAACGGTCAAACAGGGCTGGAAGGTGAGGGGTGGGAGCCATGGGAAAAGTCAGCTTCTAGAGCATTATAATGAGCATCAAATTGCCGTCTTCTTGGAGATTGCGTTTGAGCATTGCTTGACAGGGACGGCTGGAAGGTGAGGGTGAGTGAGACACAGGGTGAGGGTGAGAAACGCTGATTCCTTTGTTGTATGGTTCATCTCATCTCTCTCCCTTTCTGTCTTCTCAGGTCCTGGAGGCCACCTTTCACTGCTTGCAGTGGAAGGCACTCATTGGGGGAAGCAGCGTGGGAGAACAGCTGAAAAGGTGTGTAGAGTGTGCGGGCTCGCACGCGCATCTGTGTGTGTGCTTGCGCGCACTCATGTGCCAGTGTGCATGCATGCATGATTGCCTGTGCGCGCGCGATCGTGCGGCTGTATGCGTGTGTGCACGTGTGCATGTGCGTGTGTTTGTGCACTTTCAGCTGTCAGCACGGGCTTGAGTGCATGCTTGCACAGCATGGTCATCACCATTTGACATTGAAAAACCCTTCAACACATGCATGATTCCATCCCCATCCATCCATCCATCCATCCATCTGTCCATCTCTCCAACGTGCACACACATATGCAATGCAGGAGGCAAGCAGCAATGGTAACCATCCATCGCAGGCTGTTACACGAAGCTCTGGACTTCACCGCTTCCCACCTCCCCCAAACCCCCCTCCTCCTTCAAACCCCTCTCAACCCCACTCTCTCTCCTCCCCTCCGCCCTCCTCTTCTGCCCTGGACATGCTCTCTCCACGCCCTTCCACCACCCCTGCTACTGCCGCCTTGCCTGCCACTGCCCCTCCTGCTGCTGCTGCTGCTGCTGCTGCCCCAACTGCTGCTGGCCCAACTGCTGCTGCCCCTCCTGTTGCTGCCACCTGCCTGTTAGAAAACGCAGTGGCACTGCTGATGCTTCTAGAAGATTTTCTCCGCATGCAGGCTGAGAAAAAGATTAGCAAAAAGGAGAGCGAGGAGGAGGAGGACGCGGAGGAGGAGAGTGGGGATGGGCTGGTGGAGGGCCAGAGGGTGGACAGGGATGGAGTGCGGTGGACGGTGGTGGCAGAGGAGGAGGATGGGGAGGGGAGGCGGAAGCATAGGCCTGCTGCTTGGGTCGATCCTGCTGATGCTTTGACTGCTGCTGTTGCTGCTGCTACTGGTGCTGGTGCCGCCGCTGCTGATGCTGGTGCTACTGCTGCTGGAACAACAACAGCAGTAACATCAGCAGAAGCAACTGCGGCAGCGGATGGGGCTGCAGCAGAGGGCACAGCGGACACTGAAGCAACACCTGCTGCTGCCACTGCTGCTGACACTCCTGCATGGACGGCTGAGTTCCCTTCCCTGGACCCTGAATCTAGCAGCCAGACAGAACCTCCCACTGCAGATGCTACAGCTGCTACAATTGATTCGCCTGCTACAGTTGCTACAGCTGCCACAGATGCTGCCGATGCTACAGCTGCTACAGCTGCTGCAGCTGCTACAGATGCTGCCTCTAATGGTTTCGGGTGGGTGGCTGAGTTCCCTCTCATCGACCTCAGCTCAGAAACCCACCCTGCTGCTGCTGTCACTGTCACTGTCACTGTCACCCCCCCCACCACAGCAACACCTGCTTCCAGTGCTGCCCAATCGGCCTCTGCTTTATCCCCATCATCAGCAACAGCAGGAGCAGCAGCAGACGAGTCAATGTCATCATCGGCAGCAGCGGCGGCGGCGCCGGCAGCAGCAGCTGGGATGCATTTTGATCTGCTCACCGGCTCTTTCTCTCCCTCCACTCTACCCCAGCAGCCCACCGTCTCGCCTCCTCTAGCCCCCCTATCATCCCCGCCAGGATCAGCCTCCCTTATCTCTTTAGACAGCCCCCAACAGCAGCAGCAGCAGCAGCAGCAGCAGCAGCGGCAACTGGCACATGCATCACCTTCTAACCTCGGGTCAGCGATAGAGAGAAATTGTAAGAAGCACAAGCCCAGGCGATACAAAGCCATCCAATCTGCCTTAGCTAGCTATGGATCCATCGTCCAATCGCTGCCTGACAGCTGGCGCCGGAGATCCCGGCTGTGGTTTGGAGAGGGTGTGGGGAAGGAAGGGGAGGACGCGGTGGGGTGGGGGGGTGAGGGAGGAGGGAAGGGGGGGAAGGGAGGGGAGGTGGGTGGGAGTGAGGAGGGGAGCAGAGCAGAGGTGTCTGCTTTAGAGCAAGTGTTATTAGAGCTAGCAGAGCCTATAGAGGAAGATGAGGAGGAGGAGGATGAGGCAGGGGGATGGGCGGACCTGAGGTTGGTGCTAAAGGGCGTGACTATATTGAAGGGCATGCTTTTAGAAAAAGAGGGGGTGGGAGCAGCGGAGTCAGGCGTTTTGGCTGTGCTGGGAGGGGTGGGGGCAGGGATGAGTGATGCTCTTAAAGGGGTGTTGGAGGATGATCAGTCACTTGTGACTATATTGAGGGTGGTGCTGGTGGCGGCTAGGGAGACGGATGGGGGGGAGATGGCTGGAGAGCTGATCAGGAAAGGAGTGAGGGAGGGGGAGGAGGTTACTGAGAAGGTTCTGAGCTCCCTGCTGTGGAGGTGAGTGTATGGTGTGAAAGAGTGTGGTGTGAAAGATTATTGAGTATGGTGTGAAAGAGTATTGTGTGAAAGAGTATGGTGTGAAAGATTATTGAGTAGGTGTGAAAGAGTATTGTGTGAAAGAGTATGGTGTGAAAGAGTATTGTGTGAAAGAGTATTGTGTGAAAGAGTATTGTGTGAAAGAGTATTGTGTGAAAGAGTATTGTGTGAAAGAGTATTGTGTGAAAGAGTATGGTGTGAAAGAGTATTGTGTGAAAGAGTATGGTGTGAAAGAGTATTGTGTGAAAGAGTATTGTGTGAAAGAGTATTGTGTGAAAGAGTATTGTGTGAAAGAGTATTGTGTGAAAGAGTATTGAGTGTAGTGTGCTTTATGGCTCTGGTTCTCATCTCATCCATGCACATCCCGTTTCATCAACTTGCGATCGGATTCTACCTACCTGCCTGCATGTCTCTATAATCCCTCCATCCGTCTCTCTGCATCAACCCACCTGCTGTTAATCTCTGTGCTGCCTGCCCCATGTCTCGCTGCCTGCCCCATGTGTCTCTGGCTGCTATTCATCCCTCCATGGCAGAATCCTCTCGCCCCTGCTCACCACCTCTCGCCTTGACCAGCGCCAGAACTGTGCTCTTTCTGTCGCTGCCATTCTCCACACAGAGGTATGTCTCCCTTTCCCTCCCTCCCTCCCTTCCTCCCTCCGCCCCTCCCTCTGTCGCTGCGGGACGGGCGGATTGGCTCAATTCACTATTTCATTCCGCTCGCTCCTTTCTCTATCCCAACACAACAAACCGGTCGGTTAAGGCTGTGTAAGTAAGGAGCATTTCCTCTTTCACCCTCCCCACCTCTAAATCTGATGTCCCCCCTTTCTCCCCACCCCTAAATCTGATGCTCTCCCTTTCTCCCCACCCCATACACCCTGCCAGACCAGATCATCCACTCAATCGATCGCGATCGCACCATCCTGCGCCCCACCTTCCTTGCCCTCCTCCTCCCCCCCTTCACCGCCCTCCTCCGCAAGTGGCGCCCAGCCCTGCGCTGCCTCCGTCTCCTCTCAGACCACACAGGCACCTCCCCTTTTTCTTATCCCCTCAACCCCTTTTCAGTGAACATGGGCGGGGGAATCCGTTGTCACCCTTCCTCACCCGAAAACTTGCTTTCTCCTCTGTCCCCCCCCAATCCCTGCCAGATCATCCACTCAATCGACAGCGATCGAACCATCCTGCGACCCACCTTCCTCGCCCTCCTCCTCCCCCCCTTCACCGCCCTCCTCCGCAAGTGGCGCCCAGCTTTCCGCTGCCTCCGTCTCCTCTCAGACCACACAGGCGCATCCCCCTTCTCACACCCCCTCAACCCTGCACTAGCCACTGACGCCACACCTACCGATGCTGCTCTTGCGTTTCTCTCCCCTGTGTGGGTTTCTGCGTTTGCCTCGCCGCCTGCTGCTGTCTGCCTGGTTGCCACTGCTGCTGCCACAGGCCCTGCCGCTGCTCACGGCTCAGGTAGGAACTGGAGCAGCAGCGGAAGGAGCAGCATCGGTGGTGGTGGCGGTGTGGGTGGTGCATTTTTCGGTGCTGGTGGTGCTGCTGCAAGGATGGGGAGGGAGAGGAAGCTGGGACATATGGATCGGCTGTACGGGCTGACAGATGGCAGGCCGGGATTGGACGGCATTCCCGAGGGTGCCACGTCAGCGAAGCGGCGAGAGAAGGGAGATATCCAGAGGTCTGGGAGGTGGAGCCTGTGGGACTCCCTGGAGGGCGCATGGGGAGATGTGACCTGGCTCAAGCACCCTGCTCTCAAGCTCTCTAGTCTCCAGCACTCCTCTCCTGCCACGGGCAACAACAGCAGCAGCAGCAGCAACAGCAGCAGCGGTGGTAGCAGCAGCAGTGTGAGCAGTAAGAAGGAGTGGGATGAGGTGGAGATGAGGTACAGCATCTCCCTGGGACCCAGAGTGGGGGGACTGCAGCTCTACCTCTCCTCCCTGCACGACCTGCTCGACTCACAGGTCAGCCCCGACCAGTTCTGTTGATTCTACTTTTGAGAATTCTCAGAAGTAGAAGCGCCCCAACTGTCATTCGTTTCTCTCGTTCCCGTCTATTCACCCTCCTATATTCCCCCGTCGCCCATTTTCCACCCATCCCCGTCTCCAGACCCTGCAAGAAGCGAAGCTGCACTCACCCATTGTCAAGGCTCGGGCGGCAGGAGTGCGCATGTGGCGCTCTCTCATTCGCCAGCTGCTCAAGTCCGGGCGGCTGTGTGGCGCTCGGGCAAGCCATGAGGAATATTTACGGTCACAAGTGAGTTTCTGGCTCACTGTAAAAATCTCAGCAAGTCCGGCCGCATGCATGAGGACATCTCTGCGCATGCATGTCCCTTGCCTCCCTTCCACCCTCCCTGTACCCCCCAATATACGTACACTCCATCCACCCACCCACCCCTCCTCATGCCTATACCATACCGCCATGATGCCCCCACCAGGCCATGTGGCAGCTGGGCCGCATGGAGACATCTCTGCGAATGCATGTCCCTCACCGTCCCTTACCCCTTATTTATTCCCACCCACGCACCCATCCCCATGCCCAACAGGTGGTGTGGCAGCTGGGCCGCATGGAGACATCTCTGCGAATGCATGTCCCTCACCGTCCCTTACCCCTTATTTATTCCCACCCACGCACCCATCCCCATGCCCAACAGGTGGTGTGGCAGCTGGGCCGCATGGAGACATCTCTGCGAATGCATGTCCCTCACCGTCCCTTACCCCTTATTTATTCCCACCCACGCACCCATCCCCATGCCCAACAGGTGGTGTGGCAGCTGGGCCGCATGGAGACATCTCTGCGAATGCATGTCCCTCACCGTCCCTTACCCCTTATTTATTCCCACCCACGCACCCATCCCCATGCCCAACAGGTGGTGTGGCAGCTGGGCCGCATGGAGACATCTCTGCGAATGCATGTCCCTCACCGTCCCTTACCCCTTATTTATTCCCACCCACGCACCCATCCCCATGCCCAACAGGTGGTGTGGCAGCTGGGCCGCATGGAGACATCTCTGCGAATGCATGTCCCTCACCGTCCCTTACCCCTTATTTATTCCCACCCACGCACCCATCCCCATGCCCAACAGGTGGTGTGGCAGCTGGGCCGCATGGAGACATCTCTGCGAATGCATGTCCCTCACCGTCCCTTACCCCTTATTTATTCCCACCCACGCACCCATCCCCATGCCCAACAGGTGGTGTGGCAGCTGGGCCGCATGGAGACATCTCTGCGAATGCATGTCCCTCACCGTCCCTTACCCCTTATTTATTCCCACCCACGCACCCATCCCCATGCCCAACAGGTGGTGTGGCAGCTGGGCCGCATGGAGACATCTCTGCGAATGCATGTCCCTCACCGTCCCTTACCCCTTATTTATTCCCACCCACGCACCCATCCCCATGCCCAACAGGTGGTGTGGCAGCTGGGCCGCATGGAGACATCTCTGCGAATGCATGTCCCTCACCGTCCCTTACCCCTTATTTATTCCCACCCACGCACCCATCCCCATGCCCAACAGGTGGTGTGGCAGCTGGGCCGCATGGAGACATCTCTGCGAATGCATGTCCCTCACCGTCCCTTACCCCTTATTTATTCCCACCCACGCACCCATCCCCATGCCCAACAGGTGGTGTGGCAGCTGGGCCGCATGGAGACATCTCTGCGAATGCATGTCCCTCACCGTCCCTTACCCCTTATTTATTCCCACCCACGCACCCATCCCCATGCCCAACAGGTGGTGTGGCAGCTGGGCCGCATGGAGACATCTCTGCGAATGCATGTCCCTCACCGTCCCTTACCCCTTATTTATTCCCACCCACGCACCCATCCCCATGCCCAACAGGTGGTGTGGCAGCTGGGCCGCATGGAGACATCTCTGCGAATGCATGTCCCTCACCGTCCCTTACCCCTTATTTATTCCCACCCACGCACCCATCCCCATGCCCAACAGGTGGTGTGGCAGCTGGGCCGCATGGAGACATCTCTGCGAATGCATGTCCCTCACCGTCCCTTACCCCTTATTTATTCCCACCCACGCACCCATCCCCATGCCCAACAGGTGGTGTGGCAGCTGGGCCGCATGGAGACATCTCTGCGAATGCATGTCCCTCACCGTCCCTTACCCCTTATTTATTCCCACCCACGCACCCATCCCCATGCCCAACAGGTGGTGTGGCAGCTGGGCCGCATGGAGACATCTCTGCGAATGCATGTCCCTCACCGTCCCTTACCCCTTATTTATTCCCACCCACGCACCCATCCCCATGCCCAACAGGTGGTGTGGCAGCTGGGCCGCATGGAGACATCTCTGCGAATGCATGTCCCTCACCGTCCCTTACCCCTTATTTATTCCCACCCACGCACCCATCCCCATGCCCAACAGGTGGTGTGGCAGCTGGGCCGCATGGAGACATCTCTGCGAATGCATGTCCCTCACCGTCCCTTACCCCTTATTTATTCCCACCCACGCACCCATCCCCATGCCCAACAGGTGGTGTGGCAGCTGGGCCGCATGGAGACATCTCTGCGAATGCATGTCCCTCACCGTCCCTTACCCCTTATTTATTCCCACCCACGCACCCATCCCCATGCCCAACAGGTGGTGTGGCAGCTGGGCCGCATGGAGACATCTCTGCGAATGCATGTCCCTCACCGTCCCTTACCCCTTATTTATTCCCACCCACGCACCCATCCCCATGCCCAACAGGTGGTGTGGCAGCTGGGCCGCATGGAGACATCTCTGCGAATGCATGTCCCTCACCGTCCCTTACCCCTTATTTATTCCCACCCACGCACCCATCCCCATGCCCAACAGGTGGTGTGGCAGCTGGGCCGCATGGAGACATCTCTGCGAATGCATGTCCCTCACCGTCCCTTACCCCTTATTTATTCCCACCCACGCACCCATCCCCATGCCCAACAGGTGGTGTGGCAGCTGGGCCGCATGGAGACATCTCTGCGAATGCATGTCCCTCACCGTCCCTTACCCCTTATTTATTCCCACCCACGCACCCATCCCCATGCCCAACAGGTGGTGTGGCAGCTGGGCCGCATGGAGACATCTCTGCGAATGCATGTCCCTCACCGTCCCTTACCCCTTATTTATTCCCACCCACGCACCCATCCCCATGCCCAACAGGTGGTGTGGCAGCTGGGCCGCATGGAGACATCTCTGCGAATGCATGTCCCTCACCGTCCCTTACCCCTTATTTATTCCCACCCACGCACCCATCCCCATGCCCAACAGGTGGTGTGGCAGCTGGGCCGCATGGAGACATCTCTGCGAATGCATGTCCCTCACCGTCCCTTACCCCTTATTTAT